CCAATAGTTACAAATAAAATATTTATATTAAATTTAGGCCTTCACATTTTTGTCCCTTAAATGGCAAGTCCGGCCCATAGTGCGCAGTTTAAAATAATATAAATATATATTTTTAGCATTCGTTTAAATGCGCTCATGCAGAAGTGAGCTTTAATAACAAATTTGTCATAAAAAGAGGAAGCTTAATAAATAGATAGGTGAATAATCTATTTTAACAAAAATATGTGCACATGACTGGGCCTCAATTTCATTTGATTGAATATGCCACGTTGAGTAGACAAGTCAATCCCATGGTCAGCTACCCATATATACCCACTATATAATATATATATATGTACATTTTGTAAATGTCGCAAAATCAATCAATGATTGTTGTATTTATATGAATTTTCAGTTTGCCTAACGAGCATATTTATGAATATATTTTGAGTACTTTTGATTCATGATTAGCTAAAATGAAACTCAATTAAAGCTCCTGCACGCTCCATTTGCCTGACTTTCTATCTCTGTCTCTCTTTATCTCCCTCTCTCTCTCGCTCTCTGTGCCTGGGTGTGTGTTCATGATCCTATTAACACACTCACACACATATATATTGTATCTACCCTACATTATCATTATCATTATCATCATTGTCATTATCATTAACATTAACATTAACAATATCAATCGTTGTTGTTGTTGCTGTTGTTATTATTATTACTACTACTACTACTATTGTTGTTGTCGTTGCTGTCGTTGTTGTTATTTATTTTGTTAACATCCCTCTCCAACTCCTCTCAACTCGGACACTCATCCCTCATCGATTGAATACCCTCGGCGAATGGGTATATCTATGTATTTGGGGAAAACAACAAACAAACAAACAAACAATATATATATATACGTATATATGTATGTGTATAAAACCGTATAACTACCAGTCGACAAGAGAAATGCGAATGATGTTTGCTCGATTGCAAAATTAATGGAACCGGAGCTGGCAGCGGTCGCCGCTGCCTCATTACCTACTACGGCTACTGCTGCAACTACTACAAAAGCAAAGACAATGAAAATAAAATCCGCAATGGCCATGCCCGTGCCCGTTCCCAAGCCAGTGGCATCCCCCACGTGCTCACTGGCAGCACATTCCCCAACATCCGCTGCATCCGCCGCGCTGCTGATGCTAGAGGCAACCACGACCAGCAGCGCTCACGATGGCAATCGCAATGACGAGTCAAAGTTCACCTTTCGCTCAGGTAAGTCGATTGAGACTCATATACTTGCCCGCATCCGCACCGGCACCAGCACCACGACTCCTGCTCCTGCTCCTGCTCCTGCTCCTGCACCCGCACCCGCTCTCACTCTCACTTAAGCCATTTCAATCTTACGTTTTCCTTACTTTTCATCTGCCATTTCCGCTCAGTATTTTTAATTGGAGCAACGCACAGACGCTCTATCAGCACTCGCATTAACATTTAACCCGCATGCCCCGCTCCCACTCGACCCCCAGTTGCACTTGAATCTGTCCGGATTGCTCTCTGGCTTAGCCTATTTAAGTTACTTTCTGTTTAACACCCCCTCCATCCCCCTTCCCCCTTCACCCCCAAGCAAAACTATTGCCTGCCCCAAAGCCTTTCACGTTGCACTTGTTTCAGTTTCTGCTCGCTCGTAGTTCTGTGTGTTAGACATTGGCATGCATAAGGGGCAGCTGACTGGCGACATGTCAGCTGGAGTATGTGTTGCAGGCGGTGGGCGAGGGTGGGCCCAAGTCCAGCGGCCCTTGGGGAGGGTAGTAGAACGCCTGAATATAGGTACACCGATAGTAGCCCCTGGGGCGGGCTAGCTGCTAACTGCTAACTGCGCGTAGTATCTCGACAAGGACACCGTCCTCGCTTTTCCACGGCTTGAGCTTAGCGCGGCACACAACTGGACATGCTCCATCCAGCTAACTGTATTGGTCTCTTGCAGAGGCGGCCATGAAGCTACGCGAGGAGAACGAGCGCCTGAATGCGGAGCTAGTGCGTCTGCGCCGGCTGCTCGAGCACTCGACGGACGGTGCCGTGGGCGGAGCTGATCCCGGAGCCGACTCGGGGGCACACGATGGCCACAGCGTGACGGCGTCGCAGGAGCGCGTGGAACGACTGGAAACGGAGCTGCGCAGCGTGAAGAATCAGCTGCTCACCATGCGGCTGGAGCGGAAGAAGCTGCGCACAGACAAATCGGATCTGCTGGGCCAGGTGAAGCAGCTGTGCGCCTCGCTGCAGGAGAAGGAGCAGGAGCTGCGCGACTTCATACGCAACTACCAGGAGCGTGTGCGCGAGACTGAGTCAACCAATGCCAAGATCTCGGGTGATCGCGACCGAGAGCGCTTCCAGCTGCTGAAGCAGGCGCGCGACGAGGCCGAGCGCTCCCTGGCCCTGGCCCAGCAGCTGTCGGCGCGGGATCTGCAGCTGCAGCGCCTGCAGGAGCAGCTGCAGGAGGCGCGCCGTCAGCTCACCGGCTGCCTCTCCGACCAGGAGAGTCTACATTCCTTTGCGCCGCTAACGCCGCCCTCGGCCGCCTCGGGAATGCTCAGCCAGCTGGCTGGCGGCTCTGGGCTGGCGGGCAACCTGAGCGGCATGCGCACAGCCGAGGACAGTGGGCGTGGCAACTCGAATTCATTGTCCGCCTTCAGCGGCAGCCTGAGCGGCGGCTCCGGCGCCACAGTGGGCGACCGCAACTCCTGCTCGAACGACTCGGGCCTGCGCAACAGCAGCGATCGGGAGAGCACCGGCGGCGAGCTCAACTTCAGCGACGGCACTTGCGACAACGGACCCTGCATCACCGTCGACCCCGACAGCATCTCTCTAGTCTCCAGCCAAAATATGTATCAATGTGAGTGCTCGAAGATTAGAGCAAGCCTATGCCTTGACTTAACTCAATCTCTGCTCAATTTCTGTTGCAGTTGGCACTCCCAAGGAGCGCAGCCCCACACTTTCGCCTCTCAATTCCGGCGCCTACTCCAGGTAATTGTGTGTGGCTGAGACAGTCTCTAGTTTGCCTACTTACCTCTCTCTGTCTCTCTCTCTCTCTCTCTCTCTCTCGCTGTCTCTCCTTCGCTCAGATCTGTGGAGCAGCTCTCGCCGGATGCCGAGGGACCCGGCGGCGCTGGCGCCATGACCCGCAAGTTCGGCAACAAGAGCGGACCACTGGGCGCACGCAACGGACGCGGCGGCACCTGGGGCAGCATCTCGCGCGTGTTCGCACGCTCCAGGAACAAGAGCAAGGCCATGTCCGCCGACGGGGTGAGCGAGTACAGCGACTACTCGTGGAATCCGCTGTCCGAGGAGGGCTATGCCGAGAAGCTGCGCCTGCTGCGCGAGGCCTCCCAGCTGCCCATCGAGCGCTGGCGAGCCACTCAAGTGCTGGCCTGGCTGGAGGTGGCGCTGGGCATGCCCCAGTATAGCGCCCGCTGTGCGGAGAACGTCAAGAGCGGCAAGGTGCTGCTCGAGCTGAACGACGTGGAGCTGGAGGCGGGCCTGGGTCTGGCGCATCCCATGCATCGCAAAAAGCTGCGCCTGGCCATCGAGGAGCAGCGCCGCCCCGAGCTGGTGCGCTATCCGCTAATCACCCAGCTGGGCCACACCTGGGTGGCCTCCGAGTGGCTGCCGGACATCGGCCTGCCCCAGTACGCGGAGCCCTTCCTGCAGTCCCTGGTCGATGCGCGCATGCTGGACACGCTCTCCAAGAAGGAGCTGGAAAAGTTTCTGGGCGTGACGCGAAAGTTCCATCAGGCCAGCATAGTACATGGTAAAATTCCCCTGAACTCACCTGAAGCTCCTCAGCTCATCTGGCTAATGCATTGCTCTCACTCCTAGGCATCCACGTCTTGCGCATCGTTAAGTACGACCGACAAACGCTGGCCATGCGGCGCGTGCAGTCGGAGACCGTGGACACCGATCCCATTGTGTGGACCAACCAGCGCTTCATACGCTGGGTGCGCTCCATCGACCTGGGCGAGTACGCGGATAACTTGAAGGGTGAGTTGGCCGGCCATTTGCCAGTGGAACCAATGGCTATATCTGTTGCATAATAATAATGAAGGTGCCATTGGTTTAAGCACACTTGTGCCGTGTCCAGTTTCCATGCAATCCCACTGAATTCGTGTGTCCCGTTCCAATTGCAGACAGCGGCGTTCATGGCGGTCTGGTGGTGCTGGAGCCATCATTTTCGGGCGACACCATGGCAACGGCTCTGGGCATTCCGCCGTCGAAGAACATAATACGACGGCATCTAAACACGGAATTCGATGCTCTCATCCTGCCCGCAAGGTGAGTGTGTGTGCGTCCTCCCCCAGCATCATCCGGGCACAGTCGCATCATGCGTGATGGTGCTCGTGTCCGTCCCCCTATGTAGAACCCTGTATTTCGGTCTCGGTTTCAATTGCGTTGCCGAGCACCCGCCTCCCACTCTCTCTGTCTCTCTCTCTCTCTCTATCCCATCTACTATGCATAAGTATGTAGCGTTAAACAGCGTTTTGATTCCTTTTTACCCCATTCGATTGGAATTTCTATTGTTTCGTTCACATTTGATTGGTTTTTGGTTTTTGGTTTTTCGTTTTTGTTGATTTTGCATTTTTCTTTTTTGTCTGCATTATATTATAGCCATTGTCATCATGTATGTACATGCTCGTAATTCGAATTGTTTACTGCTATCTTGTGCTCATTATTTTGTTGATTTGAGTTGATATCATATCATTACTGCATGTTCCATCATGAACACAATCATCCACATCATCATCCATCACATCACAAATGCTTTAGCGGGTTTATAATTATATTATGTAAGGGTATTGATATTAGAGTTCAAGTGGGTTGATTAGAGAATTATAAATATCATTCGATTTTAAATAATTCTTTGGGCAACTTCATTAGGAGTAATAGGAATTTACTGTAAAGTTTTTCTTTTATGTATATTTTCAATATGTCACATAACTATATGAGGTACATATATAGAATACATTTAAACTCTAGATTCCAGCTCTGAGCGATTGAGCAAACAGCTCTCTGTTCAGCCGGAAGTATTTAAGGGTCTAGGCTATATTTACGATTTGTGTACCGCTTCTTCCATCATTCACTTCATCCAAACACACCCACACACACACGGACCCCAGCATTAGAGTGTCATACGCTTCTCTTGATTTCCAACTGATTTGCATATTCTCGTACATCTCATCAACCCAAGGCTCACAGTCTCTGTGCGCCTCGTAGCAATCATCCAGTAAAGCAGTTTGTGGAGCTAGTCCCGAGATTATTGTTGTAGTGTGCCTAGTTCTTGACTGAAGACAATTCATTCTCCTCCACAGCTCTATATATATACATACATACATGCATATATATTCATGCGCCGTCATACGTATCCATATACTAAACTAGCTGCATTATATTAACTATAACTACTGATGTCTCTGTCTCTGTTGCTGTCTTCGTCTCGTACATCAGTGTGTGTCTGTGTGTGTGTGTGTGTGCGTGTGTGTATGTATTATGTAAACGAGATATGTATATGTGTGCGTAGGCATACATACATACGCGCATATATGTTATAATCACATACATGCATACGACGTGCGGCGTGTTTGTGTGCGTGTTTTAGAGCATGTCTGAAATGCCGTCAAATAACGCACTAATTGGCTTGTGCCTTATTTTTCTCTCTCTCTCTCTCGTTCTTTCTCTCTCTCTCCCTCTCTCTCTTCTCTTCCAACATCTGGATATATTTATATAAATATGAACATATTTTCTATTTTGCTCAACGCCCAACAATGCAGATACATAATATACTGTCAAATGGAAGAATTTCAAATGGAAAACTCCCGGCAATTGGCCAAACTGCAGGGCCATTAAGTCGAAAATCAAAAAACTAAATTGAAAATAATCAAAAAAAAAAAAAAAAAAAAAAAAGAAAACGAAAACGAAACGAAACAATCCTTGTAATCGCCGTGTGTATTTGTAATCAATTGTAACTCGATGGGATTCAACTCGATTCAATATTTAATTGTATTTAGCTAAGCTGATTGGTATTTCTAGAAAGAGAACAATAATTGGAGCACAGCGCTAATCAAATCAACATAATTAACTCAACCTACTCTTAGTCTAGCCAAAGAATTACCAGATAAAAAAAAAATAAATAAAAAGAGAAAAACTGAAACTAAAAATCAAAAATGAAATCACTTATGCATAAGCATCGAAATACTCGTAGGGAAACGTAATCAGAAAAGCCCACCCTGAGACCCAAGAAAATCTATAAAAAATAACAAAAAGAGAGTGAAATACTATAGCTAATAAATAAATAAATACCACATATCGAACAAATCTGAGGAGCTTTGCACTATCTATCGATATGTCCATATTATATATACATATATATATATTCTATACAAACGAGTCTCCAGAATCGATATATGCTTTGCAGCTAACTTAAGATCGCATTTACCACGCAAGAACACATACTATATAGATATATACGTATTACACAACTGAAAATTTTGCATTTAAGCCAATAGAGAGAAACGCGCTATATATGTTATATAGTATTTGATTGTATCGATATCGATGTTATTTGTCAGAGATCACACGCACACGAATCAGAATCTCTAGAAGTATCTAGGTATAGTGGGCCAGCGTATATTTGGGTAGAGACTTTTTTAAGTAGCAGCAAATGCGATTTGTTTATAGTTTTATACATACATATACATACATATATATATATACATATGTGTATTCCACAGACATTTGATGTGACAACATAATAAAACTCTATATGTTAGACATATATACTACGTACATACATATACATTTATATAACTAACGATATCATCGTGAAAGCACACACACAAACACACATAACTGGGTTTGTAACTGATGTGGACAGCCGTCCACTGTGATACAGCACACATAAAACTGAGAAGTAAAGAGAACATACTCACATACATAAATACCAAAATATATATATATATATAGACATACATATTCAAATGGAATTATCTGCGAATACGTATACGAAAATTCACAGTTCCGAACCGAGATTTTCATTTCCTGCCTAATTAACCAATAAATAAACCAGATAAAAACATACATACACACACATATACATATACATACAAACATTAGCTTGTTTTCCTCTCGATGTTGCCTACTTTTGTGCGCCAACTGCATTTCGATACCTAGATAATGCTCGTAGTACAAAAACTCTTGGTATTTTATTTTCTTCTATACAAACCCAGTCCAAAATTTCCCACCAATATCCCAAAAGTCTCTTGACTGAGTCATTTGTAAAAAACAATACTGAACAAAAAAAACAAAAAATGCAATGTCAATTGTAAGTAAAACTTGAATTCAATTATTTTGGGTAAAAACTAGAAACATTTTCGTCTATGTCTATGTTATTTTGTAGAACTTAGCCTATTCGTTGTCATCTCTACATACAATTTCCAATTCCTGGCCCCTACCCCCATATCATCTCAGTCTACATACATAAGTATATATGTATATACATATATCTGTTATATACTATATGCATATATTTATCTTTGTTGTTTACGCTACAAGTAGTCAATTATGCTAAATACAAAACTATTTATCAATATACACCGATGCTCTGCATTTATTAATCGTTTTTCTTTCTTTTGTCTCTGTCCCGTTTCTTTTCTACTTTCCATATTTGTCATCTCTTTCTTTCGATTGTATCCAAACAAAACAAAACAAAAATCAAACTCAACGGCTTGTTGTTGCTATCCTTGTCTTGATTGTTTACGATAATGCATTATACAACACTACAACAACAACAACAACAACCACACGATGTATGCCTACCAACAACTACAACGACTACCACAACTACTACTACTACTACAACATTGCTATGCGTGCGTGCGCGCGTGTGTGTGTGTATATGTGTGTGCTTGCATTTTTCGTCTGCCTGCGCCCGCCTGCCTATGCCTCTGTCTCTGTCTCTCTGCCTCTGTCGCTGTCGCTGTCACTATCACTGTCTCTGCCTGCCCCGTTATATCTGTGTGTGTAATGTTCATTTGTGCCAAAAATGCAACAAAATTGTCCACATGCACAAACACAAATATACACACACTCCCACACACCTCCACACGCTCACACACACACACACACACACACACACCTAAACGAAAACAATCCGGTTGTATTGCAATGTTTGTTGTGTAGAGCAACTTTGGGTCAAGGCATTCGTTCCGGTTGCGGCATAGTGCCCCTAACTGGACCCGGCGGACTGCAGCACTATGCCACAACAGATCGGCGATCGAGCGGCAGCTTGCGGGTAAGTTCCACTCCAATACCATCAAGTCATGCATACAATACATATATCAATATATCTCTCTATATATAACTATCGCTATATTGTCTGCACACATCAAAATTGCGATTTCTACAATTGAGAAATAATAATACCAAAAAAAAAAAAAATAGAACTTCAGTTTCTGCCTATGTATTTATCTTAGCCTGATTTGACGTGAAGCTTTTGTTGTCTACTCTCTCTATATACATTGTATTTATCTCTCTCTCTCTCTATCTCTGTCACTCTCTGTGTGTATATGCCTTTATAAACGTTATCGCTTCAAGTACTTGTGTAGAATGTCAAAGGAACATAGTAGTATTTACTTTGTATTCATTTAATTTACATAAACAAAACAGACAGACATTTGCCCACTTCTCAAAGTACTTTGAGCACACAGTACAACAATGCTTCGACACTTAAGAGTACTTAGTATTAATAAGCCTAACACACGAATTGTTCAGCATATACATATACCGAGTCTCATAAATATACATATATATATACATTCAATTATATGTATATTTATATTTAGCTAAGGTTAAGTATTTCATTATTTTCGAATAAATTTCTTATACTTTGGCATGTTTGAGTGAAGCTAAATAACGCGTGGACCACAAGAGATAACGTCCCGAATCGAATCGCATCATTAAACATTTTAGATATGCTACAACAAATTATTTAAAAATAAATTAGAAAAAAAGAAGCAGCTGAAAAGTGAATAAGAAATTAAATTACAAATTTGCATGTGCTTTTTTTGGTATTCAAAAAATACAAAAAAAAAAAGCGAATTAATTGAAATAAGCTAGTTCAATTATTTAGGGTCCATTATTGTATGATTCGACAGTGTTGAAAAGCGCACATTTAGTATTTAAAAATGTTTAATCAAAAAGTATTTAAAATTAATAATATTTGAGCAGCCTAAGATAGCTAAAAAAAAAAAAAATAAGCATTTAAAATAAATACACAATAAATGATAAATGATAAAATGATTTATATATATACATAACATTAAATAATCCCCATATACAACTCGTAGTTATTGCAAGTAAGTAACAATTAATTAATACGCATTTTGCGAAATGCACCCAATATGGAAGTTAATTAAAATAAATATAAACTGTTTAAATTGCGATTTTTTATTTGATTATTGACAAATTCATGAATTCATTAATAACGGCATCAGAAGTTTCACGACAAATCGCAGATAAATGTTAATTGGCAAATAGGTGGGAGTGGGTCGAATGAGAGGGGGTTGGTCAGCTGGTTATCCATAGCTAAATTTGAACTGAAAACTAATCTAGCATTTTGTTCTCTTTTTGTTCCTCTCTTTCGCCTGACAGATTTCGGCATGGAAAGGATCTCAGGTGAGTGGCCAGCCACAGCAGAGGTGTGCCAGCTTATCAGCTAATGATCGTTTCCTTTGCTTACAGAGTTCTCTGTCAAAAGCCTTTCGCTTCAACAGCAAACCCCATCGCGCCGGCGATCGCAGCTCCTTCGGTAACTCCACCTCCCCAACGCCATCGTACAGCAGCAGCGAGGGCGGCGGAGGAATATATGCTACCATAGGTCCGCAGCAGATGCAAATGCAAGCGCATCATCACGCGCATCAGCCGCATCATTATCTGCCGCCACCCACGACCGCACCGCCGCCGCCACCACCGGGCTCCAGCTACGGCCCCCCGCCGCCCGGGCATCGGGTGAGCGCCCCACCCCTCGCCAGCATCCTTGATAGCCACGGACTGGACTCGCATCTGCTCTATGAGCAGAACAGCCGCCGCGTGAAGAGCATCAGCGACATAGGCGTGGCAGCCAGCGGCAGTCTGGGCGGCATATCCGCATCATCGGACTCACCTGAAGCATGAGCATGAGCCGTGTAGGGTCTTCAAGATTTCATTTCATACATGTTCCAAAGTGATAGGTTTAAGAGTCGAGATAGAATTTGGAGTTCAGCAGCTCCTCATCCGTTGATGGCTACCATGACCCACCTGTAAAGGCGTTAAGGTGAACATTACGCAACACATACATATATCAAGTCAGCAACAAACACAACACTAAACATAATTGATTAAATCAGAATTCCAACAGAACAAACTCATAATTTATTAAATAACACATACGAGAAGTAAGTTCTATGCACGCAATTACGTAAGACAGAATAGTAAACATTTAATTAATTGAATTAATTAACCACAGAGCGCGTTGGTTGTTTGCCGTAAACCAACTCCAACTACAAACAATTTAACTTTATTAGCCTAATCAAATCTGTATTAATTGTAAATTCATTTGGAAATTATATTTAATTATCAAAGCAAACTGCGAGAACGTAAAATGGAAAATGCAAATCGCAAATTGCAAGTTGTGAACTGCGAGTGGCTATAAATTAAAGTCCCCTGGCATCGGATTTGAATTAATACCCCAAACTAACCATAATTGCAATTTAGATAAATTCAAATTATTTTGTTAAGCGCCCCAACTAACTAAACTAACTAACGTAGCTAAGCAATTGTGAAACCCAATTCAATTCGTATCGTGCAAATTGTAAATGGCTATAAATCTAGGTTTAGCATACAAATATTTAATTCCCGCAATTCTATGTAAAAGCTCCAACACAAATTAATTCAGGCAAAAGATAAAACTTAATCCGCAATAGTGAAAGAATATTTATATATATAAATCTGATATCCTTCCTACCTATACAACTCCTAAAGCATATATTGTATCAATAATATGAGATGTTTATTTTTAAGCAGACCAATTTAACTCTAGCATTACAGGTAATATAAACGAATAAACGAATGATTGAAAACGTGTTTAATTTGAATATTTTTGCTCGAGCATGCAATGTTACAAAACTAGAACTTCAACAAATTGCATTGTCTCCAGACCGAAACATTTCACCGTGAACAAAATTTTGTGTGTTTGTGCATCCCGAACGGGTTTCTGCTTAATGCAACTGATGGGCTTGAGCTGCTAGCGGCGATCCTCGTCGTTCTCATTCCTCGGCCGGCGAGTTGTATGGGGTCGTCCCTTGGGCTCCGGCACAGGCTCGGCGGCAGTCAGGGTGCCAAGGCTACCGATCATAGCCAATACGCCGAACAGTAGAAACAAATTGAACCACTTCATAGTGAATTCCGTTTGTAATTCGCAGCTTAGTTGAATGTTAACTGATCGCCAATCCGATCTGGTGCCCCTTTTATGGTCGGGCTTATGCAAATGACACTGGGAAAGTCTGTCAACATCGTTTAATGTTGCTTGTGTTCTTAGATCAAGATGTCCGATTTTTAAAATTGAGTTGTAAATCTCGTGTTAAATATGGGCGGACATACATTTAGGTAATTGGCTGCAATCGCATTTGTTTTTCCCACTCACAAACAGCGAAATTGTTTTGCTTCGCGACGTGGGATCCATGCTGACAAGCCAAATCTATTTAAATGCCAAGCTTGACATTTACATTTGACTTATTGCTAATTATGGCGAATTTATAAATATCTAATGTGTATATCTATGATACCTGTATATTTGTACATGGGAGATTGTTCTAAATTAAAGTGATGACTGCATCACTGGAAGCACAAATACTGTTCAAACGAAATTACATAAATAACAAAATTAATAATAAATTTCTATATGAATGTATCTAATTCACAGCATTACGAAGTGCTTGGTCTAATGCGACTTTTAGGACTAGCGAGAATTGAAATATGTATGTATACATAATATAAACATACTCGTTTCGAATAGATTACAATTGATGAACGAAATTTGGAGCGGAGTGTGTGCTCCAGTTAATTAAATAACCTATCGAAGGTTTTTTGGTGATATTGCGAGGACTGTACAAACAATTTTCTTAACTAAAGACTGCATTTATCAAAAATGCTGTTGACTAAACAATAATCACAAAAAATTCATTTGATGCTAATTAAATTCAGAACTCCATTTGAGAATGGCATTGCAGAACTAGCTTCTCCCGAAATATGAGCTCCAACTCGTTGGCCTCCTGCTCACGTCGTAGCTCCTCACCAATGCACTGCCACATGCTCTCGAATCCACAGTCCCACGGGCAGTTGCTGAGCTCACTCTCAATTAAGCTCTCGTCAAAGTTGAAGGAGTATTCGTGCTCGTAATCACACATTTTTATTTGTTTAAGCTGCAGTAGAAAGAAAGGAACTGTTATAAATATCGATATGGAAATGATTTCGATTATTGCATCAGCAATGCCAATCGAAGTGGACAGCCCCGCTGGAGCTGTTATCAGTTGCAGAGCACAGCTGATAGCATTTAGATCAACAGAATAGTTTATGAAGATGTCGCGCAAAAACGTCTTAAATTTGATCAACACAATCGTTGCCAACTCGTAAATAACTGTATATAAAATATATTTCTGCAAACCAGCTCATTTGATTACTTTTAGCTGCAAGTGTCCCGCCCATTCCCACAATTATGGATCAGCTGCAGCAGCCACAACCCAAACGGGTCCAAAAGAATACGCATTTGAGGTAATTACGGAACGGGCAAAGTCCAAAGTCTATAAGAGCTTATCATGGTTTTCTATGGACAGATGTCTGCGTCTACCGTGCGCTTTGGTCCAGGCGTAAGCACAGAGCTGGGCGCTGACCTGCGCAACTGGGGCGCGAATAATGTTTGTCTGGTCACCGATAAGAATGTGGCGAAGTTATCTTCAGTTCGTGTTGCCCTGGACTCTTTGGCGCGCCATGGCATCAACTACCAGGTGTACGACGAGACGCGTGTGGAGCCCACGGATGAAAGTTTCTGGCATGCAGCTCAATTCGCGCGCCGCCATGAGTTCGATGCATTCGTGGCCATTGGCGGAGGCTCTACCATGGACACGGCCAAGGTGGCAAATCTCTTTAGTTGTGATCGCGAAGCAGAGTTGCTAGACTACGTCAATGCGCCCATTGGTCGAGCCAAGGAGGCAAGCGACAGCTGTCCATATATAGATTCTTGGTTGATTTTCTCTTTTCTCATAGATTTCTGTTAAGCTAAAGCCACTCGTTGCGCTGCCCACAACATCCGGAACCGGCTCGGAGACCACTGGAGTCGCAATATTCGACTATAAACGGCTGCACGCTAAAACGGGCATATCCAGCAAGCATCTGAAGCCAACATTGGGTGGGAGCTGCACACACGAGTCGCCAATTGCTTGAGCTAATATTTGTTTCTGTTACGCAGCTATTGTTGATCCTTTGCACACTTTGACGCAGCCGGAACGGGTTATGGCCTTTGCTGGATTCGATGTGTTCTGCCATGCCCTGGAGAGTTTTACAGCAGTCGACTACCGCGAGCGCGGTCCAGCGCCTGCCAATCCGAGTCTACGGCCCACGTATCAGGGAAGAAATCCCATTTCGGATGTGTGGGCGAAATTCGCTCTGGACATAATAAGCAAAAACTTCATAGATGCCATTTACCAGCCCGACAACCAGAAGGCTCGCTCCAGCATGCATCTGGCATCGACTATGGCAGGCGTTGGCTTCGGCAACGCAGGAGTGCATCTCTGCCACGGTCTGTCATATCCTATATCGGGCCATGTGCGAGATTACAAGCCCGTTGGCTACTCGGCTGACCATGCCCTAATTCCCCACGGTCTCTCGGTTGTGGTCAGTGCACCGGCAGTCTTCGAATTTACGGCCTCCGCGTGCCCAGAGCGCCACTTGGAGGCTGCTCAGATACTTGGAGCCGATGTGAGTGGCGTGAAAGCTGCTGACGCTGGCCGCCTACTGGCGGACACTGTGCGCGGCTACATGCAACGGGCGGGCATAGAAAATGGCCTCCGCGAGCTTGGCTTTTCCAGCAGCGACATCCCAGCTCTTGTCGAGGGAGCTCTGCCCCAGGAACGCATTACCAAAATGGCTCCACGCGCACAAACCCAAGAAGATCTAGCCCGACTTTTTGAGAACTCAATGCAGGTCTATTAATTACACATTTGCACTCACCTATAAATTTTTTCACTTGATAGCAAAGCAAGGCGACCTAACGGATCTTATTAATGAAGTTAGCTGCATTGGAAAAGGGCATAGGGATTTCGATAACTTAAGTGCATAATCGAAAATGAATTAGCAAACGAACAATCGTAAAAGGATATCGATTATTAAATTGCAATTAGTACGCTGTTAAGAGAATTTCGAAAATAGTTAACAGCGGAAGTCAACTTTAAATAATGTATGTAATGTATATATTTGAATTATTACAAAATTATAATAAAAATTCATTGAAATTAGCATATGTATATAAAATATGATGATTATCTAATCTTCTTTGAAATTTGATTATTATTTATTAGGACAGCTTTCCGTTCCATTCACGAAAACTCTAGCTCACTTCTTAAGCTTACTTGAATAACTCATACAACAGTTTTAAGAACTTTGATTTGAGTTGAATTTCTCATGTTTCTCTTGTGTAAGAATATCATTAAACAATTCTGTCCACATTGTATTCTTTCCTAAAGTAAACAAACTCTGAGCAGATCATATTCACTCACTCACACACAAATGCATACATACGCTCGCCTTCTCTTGAACTTCCATTTGAGTATTTGCAGAGGCAGCATATTTGAAAGTAGGGTTCGTGAAGGAGATGCTATTTGCATGGCTCGACTTTTCATTCGAGGAGGCATTCAGTTGACTATTGACATTGGTTAATTATGCAAGCATATTTTTTGTGAAATATTATTTTCGATTATATATACGTACATATATTGTTCAATGAGCGACTACAGCTGTGAGTGCAAATTTGAGGGCAAGACATTTGATAAGGAATTCGACCGAATGTGGTTGGATATAGCCGATGAGCTGCGACTGCAGCACGAATCAACTGGCATTGGTAAACTATTTCAACACAATCAGATCGGCAGTCCGTGCGACAGTGGATTCGAGAAAATGTGGCGTCAGACTGAAGAGGATCTGCAGAGGGAACAGGAGATTGCAGAACTCACACAAAGATTTTGGCAAAAGCTAAATTTGAAACGTAAACAATCTCGATGGAATGTGTGAAAGTAATAAGAGAGGAGACTGTTGATTGCTTAACAATAATAAGATGCAAAGTGTGAAATTGATTAAATTGAAGAAAAATGTTTATTTGATATACAATTAGTCGATCCACGTCCAATTCATAAATAAGTAAATATTTGTATTATATTTAGTCGTACTAGTATACAATGTAAAGATTAAGTTCGTTTTGGTTAAAATAATTTATTGATTTCAGAATATGTTTGCAAGCTCAACATTCAAATTGATTGGATTGATAGTATCATAATAATAAAAGACTTAACGTAGTAATTAATATGCTCTGCGTTCACTTATCTTGCCCAGATCTCAAATCAAAAGCTCTTAAGGAGTTGTAACAGGTTCAGATCTACAGATATATATATCCATGTTTTGCCCAACTGTTTTCTTTTTTTTTTTTTT